TGACAGCGAACTTCTGCCCTCCGGGGGTTCCTCCATTTGTGCTGTAAGCCTGTAAGTATTTAAGGTTTCTCCCCTCTTTCAATAAACGGCATTCGACATCCAATCGTACGAATGACTCGCTGTCTTTTGTCTCTATTTTTTAATCCGCAGCCCTTCGCTCAGACATGGTGAACGGTTAGCAGTAACGCGGGCGTTACCGCAACAAGTCTCCTGGAAGCTTGGTGAGAAAGAGGAAAAACTTGTCTCTCTGCAAAGAGATCTCCCACGGATCTGACAACTTGCCTGACTATCTTTTAAGGAGAGATTGGAGCTGGACAGTGATGAGTCAATGTTGGGCAAGACCACACGTTGACCAGTATAGCTTAGTTATGTGTGCCTCTTGCCCTCTCCGGACACCCAAGCTTCATGTCAGGGCCAGAAGACAGACTTCTCTTCCAGGGGCTGAGAGGGGCTTTAGGACACTGTCCCTGCTAATTTAGCCTACATCCAAGCTCTGGGTGAGACACAGGTGGTCTAGCCTGCTCTCCCACCAAAGCGATAGTCAAGCCCCATGAGGTTCCTGCGGGCTGGGGCACTATAGAAAGTGTCCTGGAGCAAGTGGCCTCACCAGGGCCCTTGCTGGTACTGGAAGCTGACTGAGGAACATGCCTGGGCAGGGGGAAGATGTTCTCACCTTCATTCTTCCTCCACCTTCTCTGGCATGAGCAGAGAGAGCTGGGGGGGCGGGGTCAAGGAGCCAACTATAAACTAGACAGGACTTTAACAGCCAAAGGGAAGAGAAAGTAATGTCTCTTCCCAGAATGCCACTAGCAGAGGCTCAAGAAGCTGCAAGCTGTCCCTGAAACAAAACCAACCTTTCGTGACGGTGGCTTGCCAAATCCAGAATGTTCCTTGGACTGTTTTCTTCAGGCTGGGGTTGAGCATGAGGCAGAGAGGGGATTGGGAATGGAGGTCGGGAGAGGGTATCACAGGGATGGAGGAAGACGGGGAAGGGGACAGAAAGAAGGATGGAATGCGCAGCAGGAGGAAGGGACACACAAGGAGGGAGAAACTGAGGCAATAATAGGGAGAGGTGACGGTAAGCATGGCTAATCTCTATGCCAACTGGATTGAATTAAGAGCTGCAAGGGCAATCGTGAGGTGCGCCTTTGGGTGTGTCTGTGAGGGCTTTTCTAGAAAGGACTGAGGGAAGAAGAATACAAGCTGTACCATCCTGAGAGCTGAGGGTCTGGGGTGAACAAACAGGAAAGAAAACCGGGTAACTCTGCACTTCTCTGCTCTCTGTCTCTTGACCCACTGAGATGTGGGGTCCTAGCAGCCTGCTCCCAAAGCCTTCATGGAGGGTGGTATCTCTGGAAAGGAGCTAAAAGAAGCCCTTCTTCTCTTAAAAGTTGGCTCTCTCAGGTATTGCAGTAATAAACTAACTAATGCAGTCAGGAAGGGAGAGGACAGGTCCTATCCCCCAGCGCCCCACTGGGCTTCAGGGTGAGGTGTCAATGGCCTCTGAAATGCTGGTCAATGGTCTCCACTCCAAATCAGGTTGTCAGAGACGCTCAACAGGACAGCAAGGGACAATTGGGGACAGGTTCAAGAAAAACCACCCCGAGGGCCCAACAGAACCAAACCCAGGTCAGGTTTGGTTTCTAGAGCTGGAGGACATCACCTTAAAGACCGATAGCCCCCCTGCGTGGAGTGCTGTGCGACTCCAAGCCCTTACTTGGCCAGCAGGCTCATGAGGTAGGTGGACGTGTTGGTGTCCAGTCTCAGAGGAGGCACCGTGACGTAGGCGGCTGCATGGGACCAGTCCTGGTGGTAGTAGTGCAAGCCTGTGAGCGTGGCATGTGCGTTGGTGGTCTCGGCCAGCACCACTTTCCCTGGAAGGAGAGGCGAAAGCATAACCAGGAAGGCCCTGGTCTGTGAGGTGGTTGGGTTGCACATCTCGCTGCACAGATAGATAAAGGAGCCGAAAGCAAACCGGAAAAGGCTTGCCCCAGCATGAAAGGCCCAGAGACGTTCTTATTGGGCCGACCCTGGGCAGAGACAGGTGTAGATTTCCAGGCCAGGGAGCATAGGAGAGAATTTTGAGGAGCCTAGTGTGGCCTGGCTGTGTACAGACAGCAGTCGGGGAGTGAGGCAGGGTGATGGTCGGGCATGCACGGACTGCCAGGCCTAGTGGGCAGTCCAGGCTGTTCTCTGGGCAGGCAGGGGATGTGCCGGTTCTGGGAGCTGCTGGAGTGAAATCCAGAAGCAGATTCGGGAGTCAGAAAGTCAGGGGAAGGGTCCATCCAGCAAGCTGGGCCAACAGTCCAGCTGGGACCCCTCAAGGGTCTTCAGCTGAAGGAGAGGCAGGATGTGGGTCCCAGATGTCAAGAGGTTATGAAGGCTGTGGCACCCACACTTCTGACTTACACCCACAGGGTTCTACCCTGACTTTGTTTCTTCTGTTACCAGTACCCCTGATAAGTACCCCTTACCAGTACCCCAGGCTAACAAGTTTGAGTACCACCAGGGAGTCTGCACTGGGGGTGGGGTGGGGGTCACACAAATGCCCCTCGGGGGTCAGATGCAGGGTTCACAGTGGTGATAAAGGGAAGTTGGGGGCCCACACACTGTTATTTCACCCTGCTCCCCCAGCTCCCCCCCCCACATGCCCCCTGGAACCGGTTTAGCATTTTGTTAGTTGCCAAGGTAATTTTTACCCAAAGGACATCAATTAACGAGTCAATTTAGGACTGTAATTTTACTTGACCTGGTCAAGGTAATAGACATTTCTGGAAAGCTGCTATGTATACACACGTGAGGAGAAGGGCTGGTTTGGATCTACTGAGCCCAGGCTAGCCCAGGGCACTCTGAGGCAGACAACTGTGAAGACATGGGAAGGGCAGGCTACCCCTGGTCTCAGCAGCCCAGCCGGGCAGAACGGGAGCTAATGGACCCTTCTCCTCCTCTGGTCCCACAGCACGAGGTACCAGGACCCTTACCTTGCATCTTAGCAGCTGCGATCACATCCCCAGCCGAGATGCTGGACACATTGACCAGGTAGATGGGACAGTGAGTCTGAAGACAAGAGACAGGAGGAAGTCTCGGTACCTGCCCACTTCCCCCCCCTCCCCCCGAAAGCTGCCATGTACCCAAACTACCCCTCCATCAGCCCTGCACCAACATACATCCCTGCATGTCATGCGTCACTCATCCCTAGATGAGAGTTCACACTCGGGGGATGCAGGGCTGGCGGTCTGAGCACACAACAGGGTGCGAATTGTGTGGAGCGAGGCGGAAACAGATGGAAGCCAGCATCGGGGACCACCAATCTAAGTGACCTCAGGCTGCAGCTGGTGAGTTTAAACCTCAGATTTTCTCTGATCTCATGGGTTTTCTCCTGCTTCATTTTTTTTTTTTTTTCTGTTCATAAGCACGATGACCCAGGAACAGTCGTGTGTTACATCCTACACCTGACATTTTGATGCCTGTGGTCCAAAGGTCACTTTATCAACAGACAGAATGTACCCAGGAGAAAAAAACCAGGCTCAGAGGCTAGGCTGGACAAAGTTGATCTTGTAACATCTGGACTGTCATATGCATCAGCTGTTCTACAGATGTGTGCAAACATAGTCCATGGCCTAATGTCTTTGGGCACTTTTGCACTGAGATGCAAGGAGCTGATGGTTGGTCAGACCCTTCCTGATTGTGGGCTGGGTGTCCACTAGGAAGTAGCTGGTAAGAACTGTTGTCATGACAACAGAACAACGTCCAGACCTTGAAGGAGCTAACAGGAAACCTTCCGAGATGCCATTCTGTGCCAGTTAGGAGACAGGGGCTTTGAGGTGCCTAGCATGAGCTGATTAACCCTAGGATTGGTTGATAGGCAGCCTCCCTGTCCTCTACATTCCTAGAAACATATTTCTGTGTTTCCACCCTTCCGGGCAGCCCAGGCCATTCCAGAGGGGAAGGCCCCAAGCAGGAGCCCTCATTAGAATCACGGGGGTTGGGAGAAAACAGACATCCTCCCAATACAGAATGCTGGGCACTGTCCCAGTTTCTGATTTACTGGGTCTCTCTGGAACTCGAGAGCTTGTTTATCTGAATCTGTAATTCTGACATGGTGCTGATTTTGCCCTCCAGGAACCACGTTGCGGGAAATCTATCGTTCTAGAGCCGGTAGTTCCGATTATCTGAGCAAATCAGACCCTTCAGCGACATCCTGCAGGAAGGGATGGCCTTTCCATGGCACAAAGTACTCTCCCTGAGTCCCAGCAGCTGTACGGAGCGGAGTAAGTGATGCCGCCACTCTGATTTCAGATGATGAAGTAGCGGATCAGAGGGGGCATGATGTGCATGATGTGCAGGTGGCTGAAAGCATGTATTTATCAGATAAGAGCAAGGCTCTGATTTCTGGCATCATCTCTAGCTGGTTCCCGCCACGCTCCGCCAGTGCCTTGTTAAGGCCTTTTCCTGAATCAAACCCGGGACAGAAGCTGGAACACTGAGGCCCCAGCGGCACAGGGTTAAATTCTAACTGCCTAAGCTACTTATACTTGAGCAATGAATCTCCGCTTTAGCGCTCCAGCTTCATCAAGCTCAAAGGGGTGGGGCAGAGAGCTGGGGCGGGCAGGATGCACACCGGAACTCTGGGACTAACACGTCCCTTCAGCCGGCGTTCCACCCCCCTCTCCCCGGGAGCCACTTGGGGCACTGGCCTCCAGACAAGAATGAGTTCACACCACGGTCCCAGGGGGGAGGACGGGGGTGGGGTGGGGGTGGGGGTGTGTGGGGGTTGGGGACGGGGACGACTTACCCTGTTTGCAATGGTGATGACGCGGTGAGTGGCCTCGGCTTCCAGCTGTTGAAAACAAGGGGCAACCGTTAGAGAACCAACCGTCACCATCTCCTTCAAGCCAGCCACACCTGCCTGAGAGCTCTCTGTAGGGAGAGCACTGGAGCAGCATCCACAGCAGAGGCTGGCTGCATCCACAGGCACTGGCTGTGGATGGGGGCCAGGCACCGGGCCCCAACCGCTAGGACCTCCGTGGCAAGACAGTCCCAGGATTTAGGATACCTGCTGCATCTCGGTACCCTAACGGTGTTTGCCAGGCAAGCCAGGTGACATGAAATCGTTGCTTGGAAACGACAGAGCTGTCCTCTGATTGCCACAGGTGTCCTATGGTGCCCTCCCCCCATACACAAGGTAATTAATAAAAATCTTTAAAAATGTCTTCAGGCAATGAAAGGATATTAAGCAAACAACAACTTAGAGTCTCACCTCTCTTGTCTGCTAGTGCGTTCACTCAGTGGCTACCACAGAAATGCAGTACATACATAAAGATGGAGGTTAGCCCAGATCCCAGTTTCTGCACCCTAATATTACTGACCCTGGAGCCCACGCATTCTCTATGGTTGAGGCTGTTTGCACACCGCAGGATGTTCACAGCACCCCTCGACTTTATCCATCAGGGATCAGCATCACTCTACTCACCGGCCCTGCTGGGCCAACGAAAACCATTACTAGACACTGTCGGATGTTTTCCGGACAGTCAGTCTGCCCTGGCACAGACCCAAGTCCGTCCCTCTTAAGCAGCAGATGCTGACTGTAACAATCATTGCTGTTACCAAGCCTGGCTCTTCCTCTTGTTCCCTGGCACAGACCGCTCAAGCCTGAGTCCGAGTCGGCCCTGTGTCAACCTTGTCACGATCCACCCTGGGGAGCAAGTGCGCCAAGTCTCCAGGAACCTAGGCCGTCCTTACACTCACAACACAGCAGAGGGTGACCTCGAACCCCTCTCAAGAGCTGGAATTGTGGGTGCATACCCCACTTTCAGCCATATGTGGTGTTGGGTATAGATCCAGGACCTCATGCCTGCTGGGCAAACATCTACCAACTGAGCTACATTCCCAACCCTGGTGCATATTTCTCTACAGATTCTGAGGTGCCCAAGCAGGACCTACATTTAGACCAGTGACTAGCAGGAACAGGACCAAGGCGGGAAGAGGGAAGCCAAGTTGGCTCGTGGGTGATGGTAGGATCACACATCGGCTCTCCTGGAGCTCCAACTACTACCCCGCTATAATGGATTGATTGACCAGAGAGAGGCTCTTGCTAGGCAGCCCAGGCCCGCCTGGAACCTCAGCCTTGCTGGAGCTGGGAATACAGAGTCCACACTACCCTCCCATTATTCTGCGTTTTAGGCTTTGAAGAAAAGAGAGGTTTCTTTCTACTGCAAATGGTGACCATGTCTGAATAGGGGGCCAGCACAGGAAGGTATTCTTTATCTACTGTGGCTCTCAGCAGCAGACTACTGGATATCCATGTCAATGCTCTATGAAAGTGCACACAGGGATACAAGCAGAGGGCCACAGGGCCTTTCCTGCTCACCCTGGTGAGTAATATGAGTGAGAGAGCCAGGGACACCATGCTTTGTTTTTGGTGGGAAGAAGGGCTCAAGGTCTTCCTCAGTTAGAATCTCATCGCCAGAGCGCAGAGTCCTGGCTTCGGGCTTCATTTCCTTCTAACACATCGAGGCTCTGTCTGTCTCTTTTGTCTCTGCACTCAATTATGGACAAAGTGACCCTCGAAATGATCTCTCCAAAGCCTTGAGATTAGAACTAAATGGGACATGACAGGGTTTACCCTGTCCTTCCAAAGGACGGTCAAGGTAGCCTCAGCATAGGTTTTTCCCCAGGAAGCTTCTAGATGGGAATTTCACCCATGGAGGAAAATGATGCAACATATATTTCCCCTCTGAAAATGACATAATTCTATTTTTCTTTATTTATTTTCTGAGAGAGGGTCTCATGTAGCCCAGGCTGGCCTCAAGCTTGCTATGTAACATATTTTTGACATTTCTTCTAAAAGATTGCATGAGTGTTACGTTTTGAATACGTAATGTTTCACAGGGTCTCATGATACAAATTCTTGGTCCCTAGATAGTGGTGGTATTTCTAGAAACATGAGGCAAGGCTGAGCTGGAGGAAGGAGGTCATAGGGATGGGTCCTTCCTTGGTAGTTCCCTGGCTACTTCCTGTTTCACTCTCTGTTTCCTTCCTGGTTGATCATCAAGTCAATAGTTCTCCTCTGCCACACATTCCTGTCACCATGACCTTCTGCCCAAGTGGAAACATCCACTGAATTCTTTGAAACAATGAGCATGCATAAAATAATGATAATGATAATAATAATAATTTTTCTCTCAGGTTTATTTTCAGTGACAGAAAGCTAATGAATTCAGGAAGTCTATATGAAAAAAATTGACCGTAGACACAGGAATTTTCTCCTACCTCCTCTGGACGGCTGATCTCGATTCCTTCTGGGCCTGTGATGCCCAAATCTAGAGCCTCCTTAGCACCCTGAATAATAGCGAGAGAAAGACAATCGAATTACAGAGATACAAGAAACTACCAAACCCAAGGGGCAGTAAAGTATGCCAGGCATGTCTTCCTTCTGTAACACACACTTTCCAAAGACTAACCCCGGGATCTCATGCTGTAAACGTCTCCTAATTCTCTCCTCACTTCTGACATCATAACATTCATACAAAATGATTACCTAAGACTTAAGAAACCTCTTGGATTATAAAACATAAGGAGAGATTTTAATATATATTTTAACACACACACACACACACACACACACACACACACACACACACACACACATTTAAAGTTTGGATTTCAGACCAAGATTTGGCATCCAGATGTTCACATCTCACACCATCTAACTACTTGAATTACACGAACCATGAAGGACAGTGACAAGTGGCCAGGGTGTCCCTGTGCGCTGTGTCCATCGGCTCCACCCCCACCCAACAACCTCTCCTGATGACTTGCCTCAGCCACGAGCTCCCCATTTTCAGCGTGGACTCGGGGGATCGCCCCAATGTCCCTGCAGGCATGAAACACTTGGTACAGCTCACTGTCTCGAAGCATGTACAAGTCCTTGTAGGTCATGAACATCTGGAAGGAGTTGACCCCCTTCTCCCTCACTAGTGTCTCCATTTCTGCTTTCACCTGGGGAGCAAATCGCAGAGTCAGTGCCAGGGAGGGTTGGCAGGTGCTGGCCCGGTGAGGAGACAGACCAGGGAGTGCTAAGAAGGGCAATGGTTAACTCTGTCTCAGCGCTGTAAACTCCAGCACACACAGGCCCTCTGTGCCTGAGCCAACTGCTCAGTGGTCCTCCCCATCAGCTGTTCATGGTACCTCGCGTACACATCGGGACATCCTGAGCCCTGGCAGTCAGGGCAAGGAGCCAACGCTCCTGAGTCTGGCCCATGGCCTTGGACTCTGCTGCAATGTGATGCTCACTGTGAATGCTGCAAAATAGGCTGTGGGAATCCACAACGATTTCCTGGTGAGACCTGAGCTTGCTTTCCACAGCAGGGCTGCATCAGGGGATGGCCTGATCGTGTGCATGGTCACCAGGTGTCTGGGATGGTCTGCACTTGGCTGTGCTGGGGGGAGGTCTTTTGCTCCACCCCTTGGCATTCCTTTAAAAGACCTTTAGTAGAGACAGAAGGGGCAGGTGGGTTTTGACCCAGGTCCTTCTAAGGCTATCCTGTGTTTTCTGTTTGTCTCTCTCCCTCTATATTTCTACCTAGATAATCCTCATTTCTCCCTGCTCAAGGTACCCTGCGGGGGGAAAAAGAGGGAGCAGGTATCCCTTAATGGGTCCTTTAAGATAGGCAGGAAAGTCCCCTTCCCCACCACCTTTATGGACTCCTAAATGTTCTGTTTGGCACATAGGGAAGCCAGAGTGGTGGTGGTGGAGGGTTTGTACACACAGAAGAGCATCAGGGCCCAGCCAGTTCAGTTACACACCCCTTTGTGCACCAGACCACTGGGGTCTTCTTTGGGGGTTCCATCAGCAGCGTTACCTTGGGTGCCCACCAGGTGATCCCCACATGGAGGGCATAATCACAGCAGACCTTGGGGTCAGCCAGAGCCCTGCACTTCTCGTAGGCTTCCACGAGGGAGGTCTCCTTGTCAGGCAGGACATGGCCCATGATCATCGTGGTGCCTCCAACGAGTGCCGCCTGAAGGAACAAGAGGAAAGGTCACACTCTGTCGCACTCATGTCACTGTCAAGGTGGGACACGCTGCTCAGGGTGCACTTGGGACAACCACGGAGATTCTGAGGATCCAACACGGCAAGGCTTGGGAAACCGGAAGGGGTGGTTCAGAGGTGCGAGGGATGATTTTCTTCAGAGCAAACAAACCCGCTCCTTCCTCGTGGAGAGTTCCAGCCTGGTCCTTTGGAAAAAGCACTTAGCATGTGGGATCCCACCTTCCCAGTAGGATCTCCCTCCAAGTGACTTTCGGCTAACTTCAATATAGAGACAACATGATCAAAGGCCCGAGTATATGTATATATCTGTCAATGACCAAGGGTTCATGTATAAAACTTGGTGATCTAGTCACACACATTAAACCATAGTGTGTAATAAGGTAGCATGAAGATATTGTTTTATTCCGTCACTTACTCTGAGGCAGTTTTACTTAAAATTCATATACATCTTCAACTTCAGACTTTTGGTCCTCTTTTCCCTTCTGCTAGCATATTAGCTTTATTTCCTTCCTTCCTTCTTCCTCCCTCCTCCTCCTCCTCTCTCTCTCCTTCTTTCTTTCTTTTCAAGACAGTTTCTCTGTGTAGCCCTGGCTGTCTCGAAACTGACTCCGTAGACCAGGCTAGCCTCAAACTCACAGAGATGTGCCTGTTAGCTTCACTTCTATCTGTCTTGTCTGGGCTAGA